TAGGGTTTAGGTTTGAGGGTTTAGGGATGTTTAGGGATGTTTAGGGTTGAGGGAGGCTTTGTGTTATTTTGCGATTTGTGAGACGAAGCACACATTCTTCTTTGTCCCTTGTAGGGACCGTTCCAATGCCCGCCGAAACACTCCGCAGCTTCCCCTTCACTTACCTTGGGACACGAATGGAAATCGCAGCATGTGGACCGTCTACCCCAGGCTACCCGAATCGCTATCAAGTTCATGGCCCAGAATCCCAAGAATTGTAGGCCCTTTCGTTGAGCCTAAGCCCTAAACCCTAAACCCTAAACCCTAAACCCTAAACCCTAAACCCTAAACCCTAAACCCTAAACCCCAAACCCCAAACCCCACACCCCAAACCCCAAACCCCAAACCCCAAACCCCAAACCCCAAACCCCAAACCCTAAACCCTAAACCCTAAACCCTAAACCCTACACCCTAAACCCTAAACCCCGCCAGAGCCTGAAAGGACTGGATGTGGAACTACCTGGACATCTTTGTCGTGCCACTTTGGCCGCACACCCATGCACGCCTTGCTGCCTCTAGGTGGCAGGTGTCAAATGCCTCAGCATGAAAAGAGGAGGGTTTAGGGTTTAGGGTTCAGGGTTTAGGGTTGAGGGTTTAGGATTTAGGGTAAAGAGGATCTCAGAGTTTAAGAGCTCTCATCTTTTTTGTGGGGAGGGGGGTTCAGGCGTAATGAGGAAGAAGATCCATTGAGGGCGGCGAATGGGCAAGAGTATTTCCTCCTAGATGCAGGAGCGAATTCAAATCCTGAACATCCGCCCCCAAAGCCGTACTTAGCCCAACAACCCAAAACCACTCAAAGAGGCTTCCATGAAAGACGAGCAAGACCCTAAACCCCAAAGCCCCCCAAAAAGCCCTAAAGTCCTGAACCCCTAAAATCCCAGCACCCCTAAATTGCCCCTAAACCCCTGAAGCCCTAAACCCTAAAAGGCTCACCTCCGTCTGGGAGAAGGTCGCCGACTACATCCTCCGGCTGGGGGTGCCTTAGCCCATCAGGGCCTGGGGGAGTTTGGGGTTTTGGGGTTCTTCGGCCCTAAGACTCTTAGGGTTTGTACGGTTCGTAGTGTTTAGGGTTCGTAGCGTTCTTAGGGTTCTTAGAACTCCTGGGGTTCTTAGGGTTTTTAGCGTTCTTAGATGTTCTGAGGGCTTTTGGGGTTCTTAGGGTTCGTAGCGTTCTTTAGGGTTCTTAGGGTTTCTTGCAGTTTCTTGAGGATTCTTAGCGTTCTTCGGATTCTTCGGGTTCTTAATGGGGATGTTGGGGTCTGGGGTTCTTGTCGTTTAGGGTTCCTCGGGTTTGGTGTTCTTAGCTTCAGGGGTCCCAAAGCCGCCAGAGTTCCGAAGCCCAACTCTTCAGCTAACCCGTAAACCCTAAACCCTAAACCCTAAACCCCAAGCCCCAAGCCCTAAACCCTCAAGCCTAAACCCTAAGCGCTAAACCCTAAACCCTACAGTAAGCCCTAGGGAGTTTCTTTAACCCTGAATCTGCAGCCTCCCCAGCAGCCGCACAGGAAGCGAACGGAGATCTGCCGCACCTTTCCGGGCTGAAGGCAGGTTAGGTGGCTTAGGGTTTAGGGTTTGGGGTTTGGGGTTTAGGGTTTAAAGGGTTTAGGGTTTAGGGTGGGTGTTAGGATTTTCAGGCTTTTAGGGTTTTAGGGTTGAGGATTTTCGGTCGGTGAAGGGTTTAAGGAATTTGAAAGGATTCGGGTGGAGATCTCCAAGGCAGTCGCATCGGATCGGGCGCCCTGAACCCTAAACCCTAAACCCTAAACCCTGAACCCTAAACCCCAAACCCTAAACCCATTGGAGCATCATGGCATGCGGTCAGTGTTGCCGTGTGAGCATCGTTAGAGAGGGACTTGGGTTTTGGCTCCAACCGTTACTTTACACCTCCCACGGAATGGCCTCGAAGCGAGAACCGAGCCCTAACCCTAAGCCTTAAAATTCCGAAGCCCGAAACCCAAAGCCCTACAGCCTAAGCCCTAAGCCCTAAAACCCCCAAGCCCCAAAGCCCCAAGCCCTAAGCCCTAAAAACCCCAAACCCCCCGTGGTACCCTTTACCTTTCTTTTTGTTTATGGTTTCCCTTATAAGCATGAATAAGCCCCACACCCCTCTGCAGCCCAACGCCCAAAGCGTCCATGAAACCAGAAGTCAAGGCGAGAGCCGGTCATCCAAGATCTCAGCAACAAAGGGTTTAGGGTTTAGGGTTTAGGGTTTAGGTTTAGGGTTTAGGGTTTAGGGTTTAGGGTTTAGGGTTTAGGGTTTAGGGTTTAGGGTTTAGGGTTTAGGGTTTAGGGTTTAGGGTTCAGGGGCCCAAGCCCGGATGCAAAAATTAGGGTTTAGGGTTTGGGGTTTGGGGTTTGTGGTTTAGGGTTTCGGAAGGAATTTAACCTCTACTTTAAGGGCCCCTAAACCCCAAACCCCCAAACCCAAAGACACGAAATCCAGGAGCCTGCGGCAGATTTTTTCCTCCAACATGTCACTTTCTCTCAAAAAAACACATACTTTTCCTCCAAAATGTCTTTTTTTCTCAAAAAAACACATTTGAGACAACAATCTGCAGAGGAACAGACCTGAAAGCCCGCGGCCCTGCAGGCGCTGCGCCTGGTCCGAATCTCGCGCATCGTGAAGGTGAGCGCCAACAAGGGGTTTAGGGTTTAGGGTTTAGGGTTTAGGGTTTAGGGTTTAGGGTTTAGGGCTTTCGGGCTTTCGGGCTTTCGGGCTTGCAAGTCCTGAGCCCCAAGCACCCTATGGCAGGTGTTCTTTTTTCTCCAAGAGTCTTGGGTGGAGGAGTAGAGCCTGCATGTTCCACAACGTTGAATCTCCGAAGGTCCATGCCTAAGCCCGAAGGGTTCAGGGTTCCGGGGTTCTGCCCGTTTCCCTGAACCCTAAACCCTAAACCCTAAACCCTAAACCCTAAACCCTAAACCCTAAACCCTAAACCCTAAACCCTAAACCCTAAACCCTCCACCCAAATCCCTAAACCCTTGGTCCCAAAGCCAGTGGCTTTCTCTCCCCGCCGCAGGTGGCACGGCTGGCCCGAGTACTGCGCTTTGTTATGGCGTTGCGGACGCTGATCTCTTCGATCATCTACACTCTGACGCATGTCCTGCTTAAGGGGTAGGGTTTAGGGTTTAGGGTTTAGGGTTTAGGGTTTAGGGTTTAGGGTTTAGGGTTTAGGGTTTAGGGTTTAGGGTTTAGGGTTTAGGGTTTAGGGTTTAGGGTTTAGGCGGTTTAGGGTTTAGGGGTCAGGGTTTAGGGTTTAGGGTTCGAAGGACATCAGCATCAGTTCTCTTGAAGCCAAGTCCCGAAGTCCCCGGGCCAAAAACCTTTACGTCACATGCGTTTGCGAGAGCCGCAATGCCACCAATGCCCGGCAGTCAGGCCCAGGCAGGTCGGGGAAAAGGCAGCCCTAAGCCCTAAACCCGAAACCCTAAACCACAACACCCCAAACCCGAGACCCTAAGCCCTAAACCCTAAACCCGAAAGCAGAATCCCTAAACCAAAAACCCTTCAACCCTAAACCCTAAACCCTAGACCCTAAACCCTAAACCCTAAACCCCAAACCCTAAACCTTAAGCCTCTGTGGCTGAGGAAGTCGTTGGTGTGGGCCATGATCCTGCTGTGGCTGATTGTGTATGCGCCTTGTCCTGTTTTGGGAGCTTGGAAGTTAGGTTTAGGGTTTAGGGTTTAGGGTTTAGGGTTTAGGGTTCAGGGTTCAGGGTTCAGGGTTTAGGGTTTAGGGTTTAGGGTTTAGGGTTTAGGGCTCGGCATGGAGTTTAGATGACAGGCTTCCAGGGCTTTTCGGTGATAAGCGCTTTCTCCCAAGCGTCGAAGTGACGACCTCCGACCTCAAAGCTTCAACCTAAGCTACTTACCTTCGATGGGCGGGTTTAGGGTTTGGGGTTTAGGGTTTAGGGTTGAGGGGTTTGGGGTTTAGGGGTTTAGGGGTTTAGGGGTTTAGGGGTTTAGGGGTTTAGGGGTTTAGGGGTTTAGGGGTTTAGGGGTTTAGGGCATCGTCATCGTCCACGCCTAAACCCAAAGCCCCAAACATTTTAAACAAATCATCACCCTAAAACACCCTAAACCCTACATTCAATCATCACCCTAGACCCCAAAACAGTTCAGACGGCTCAGAACTCTAAACCTTTTTTGCACTAATCAACATGTCGAACTCGCATGTTCCTTTTGTCTTCTGGGCGTCCGTTTCCGCGGTGGCGCCAGTTTGGTCGATTCCGTCATCTCCGGTGTCTTCCAAAATACCCAAAATACCCTCAACCCTAAACCCTGGACCCTGGACCTGAACCCCAAACCTTAAACCATTCTCTTCCTCAGGTTTTCGCCGTTCTCTTCACCCAGGACCGACAGGGGGGGGGGGGGTTGAAAGTTGCCAACTGCAGTGGCGGGCAACCGTCGGAGATTTGAGGGGCTCTTTCGGCTTTAGGGCTTAAGGTTTGGGGTTTAGGGCTTATGGTTTGGGGTTTAGGGTTTAGGGTTTCGGGTTTAGGGTTTCGGGTTTGGGGTTTGGGGTTTAGGGTTTAGGGTTTAGCGTTTAGGGTTGCTCTCGACCTTTGCTCTTTGCTGTGCACCTGTTCCAGCTTGGGAAGCCTTCCGGGTGGTGTCTTGACGCCTGTTGCATTTAGGGTTTAGGGTTTAGGGCTTAGGGCTTAGGGTTTAGGGTTTAGGGCTTAGGGCTTAGGGCTTAGGGTGTAAGGAAAAAGCTTTGGGGTTTATTGGGATCCGGTACCTGGCGTTTAAAGGTTGTCTTGTTGGCTCGCCATGGGAAATTAGGGGAACCAGGTACCCTGCATGTGAAAGGAGGGCTGCAAAGGAGATGTAAGGTACCTGAATGATTCCTTTATCCTTGCCGTTCTTGCCATATCCCAAACCGTTTTCGCTCCTGCCGCAAGCATTCTCTTTCGAGACCGAATCCCCCCCGGTTTCTGGATCTTCGCCAACAAAAACCATGGCCATGATCCGCGCGATGACTTCCATTCTTTTCTTGAGCTCCGCCGTTTCGGTGGGTGCCATGTTCAAGAAGGGCGCCAAGCAGCTGGTCGATGACCATCTGGATGGCCACATGCCGTTGGCCCCACCCGCAGACGCAGCGGAGCCCGCACAGCCCGATGCCCACGTGGCACTGGGCCAGGAGGCTCAGAAGCAAGATTTTCCCACGCTTCCGCCTCTGGGCAACATCGACAGCATCATCAAATCCGCACAGGACACCCTCAACAAGACCATCAAGTCCGGCAAGGAGGCGGTGGAAGGTGCCGTGGAGGGCGCGAAGTCCGTGGCGCTGGACGCCCTCAAGGCTGGCGCCGAGAAAGTGAACGAGACGCTGGACACGCTGGGCGGCGAGGTCTCTGAGGCGAACGCCACCGCGCGTGGCGCCATGAAGAAGGCCGAGTCGAAGGTTCACATGGCCGACAACAAGGCCGAGGCGTTCGCGGATGCCGCGAAGGACCTCCTGCAGTCGATCCTGCCCAAGTTTCAGGACCTCGTCGGTGGGCTCCACAGCGCCATGGGCGTGGCCGACCAGGCACTGGACGCAATGGACGAGAAGCCGGCAGCCAAGAAGCTGGACGATGCCATGTCGCCCGTCTTCGCCACCATCGACACCTGGAAGAACTCGACCAACGAGGTGATCAAGACTCTGGCTGCATACACGAGCGAGGCGTCTGGCAACACCAGCAACGCCAGCAACGCCTCCCTCTTGGACATGGGCCCAGAGGCCCAGCTCGCAGATGCCCTCCGCGACCCCTTGGAGGAGCTGTCGCATGCTGCCAGCAAGTTGCACAACTTGGCCAACGAGACCTTCGATGCCATGAGCAACTTCGTGGATGCGGGGCTGGATGCTGCCTCTGGGAAGCTGCCCAAGGACCTGATCGCCAACGTCTCCGACATCTTTGAGGGCGTGCAGGAGAAGGCCCGGATGGAGTTGGAGCCGCTCGGCGCGGTAAGCGACGAGATCGTGAGTGCCCTCTACGACACCGCCCAGGAGGCTGGGGTCGAGGTGAAGCCCCGATCTGGTTCTTACCGCGGTGGCCTGACGCTGCTGTCCTTCGCCCTTGGTGCCCTCGCGACCTTCTAAGAAGGTCGCTTGAGCCGTCTTGGGCACTGACCGAACCTGAGAGCGGAGTGGAAAAACAAGGTGGGCGCTGCACAGCACCATGTGCCCGGTGTGGAGAGACTGATCTGTAAAGCCCAGCTTGGTTTAGGAGATCCGGGGGGGCTTCCAACTCCGCAATCCCTTCTTGATGCCTTAAACCCTAAACCCTACGCACAAATCGAGAAGCGAAACCCCTAAACCCCTAAACCCATAAACCCCTAAACCCTTATCAGTGCAGGCTGTCGGGGATCATCTCTTGGTTCCCGACAATCCGGCGCTCACGCCCTCTTCGTGCGTGAGCGACGTCGACGAGGCTTCGGGGCCTGGAAGGTGTAAGGAACCGGGGCCCTAAACTAACCCTTAAACCCTTAAACCCTTCAACGCTAAACCTCAAACCCTCAAACCCTTAAACCCTTAAACCCTTGAACCCTTAAACCCTTAAGCCCTTAAACCCTCAAACCCTTCAACCCTAAACCCTGAATCCTTAAAACCCTTAAACCCTTAAACCCTTAAACCCTTAAACCCTTAAACCCTTAAACCCTTAAACCCTTAAACCCTTAAACCCTTGACCCTTCAACCCTAAACCCTGAATCCTTAAAACTCTCAACTTCTTGGGCTTGGGTTTGGGCGTCTGTCGTCGGGGGTCGGGGATGTTACCCCCAGCAGATTCGCACGTGAACTTGAGGTGATTTGTGCGATTTTGCAGTGTAGGGTTTAGGGTTTAGGGTTTAGGGTTTAGGGTTTAGGGTTTAGGGTTTAGGGTTTAGGGTGTAGGGTTTAGGGTTTAGGGTTTAGGGTTTAGGGTTTAGGGTTTAGGGTGTCAGAGTTGTCCTCCTTGAGTCATTGAGGTCGGCCTTCACGACCCTACTGAGCAGGCTATGTGCCACAGCCATAGCTGCCGTAGCCATCTCAAACCCTAAACGGCCCCATAAACCCTAAACCCTAAACCCTAAACCCTAAACCCTAAACCCTAAACCCTAAACCCTAAACCCTAAACCCTAAACCCTAAACCCCATCAGCCCTATGCCTGCAGCTCATTCCCCCCCCCCCCCCCCCCCGTCCCCCCTCCTCAGACGGCGAAGACGCGGTACTTCGGCTCCCTCCAAGACCGCTGGGCAGATTTGCTTTCGGGGTTCTGGGGGCCCTAACATCTTACAGGGTTCAGGGTTCAGGGTTTAGGGTTTAGGGTTCAGGGTTTAGGGTTTAGGGTTAGGGGTTTAGGGTTTATAGGGTTGCGGACCCGGATTCAAGATGTTGGGGCTGAAAAAGAGTCTGGTCTGGACTGGCGTTGTCGGCTTTGGGCACTGTTCATGTGCGCTCTGGGGGTCCTCCTCACAAAGAGCTTCATGATTTCCCCACTCCCCCCCCCCCAGTCCTAGAGGGTTCCGGGTTTAGAGGGCGTCGAAATTTGAGAGGAAATCCACGCCTATCTTGGCAACCAGACAGAAAAAAACCAAACCATGCTGCATCCTGAATTGGATTTTGAAACCCTCGACCTTGCCCTTCAAAATGTTACCCGAAAACCCAAAATGAAAAAAACACCCTCAACCCCAAGGCCCAAGACCCTCATCGCTAACGCCCCCCTAAACCCTAAACCCTAAACCCTAAACCCTAAACCCTAAACCCTAAACCCTAAACCCTAAACCCTAAACCCTAAACCCTAAACCCTAAACCCTAAACCCTAAACCCTAAACCCTAAACCCTAAACCCCTTTTCCCTAAGCAAGAAGAGGACGCGATGCTGAGCCTGTTCATGAGCATCGCCGGTGGGGTCAGCTGGATAGAAGTTGTTGGGGAGTTGAAGGCCGGCGGAACCCCGAGCCTGTGTGTGGGGTCGGGCCCTAAACCCTAAACCCTAAACCCTAAACCCTAAACCCTAAACACTAAACCCTAAACCCTAACCCTAAACCCTAAACCCTAAACCCTAAACCCTAAACCCGGAGGCTTCACCGATCCGACAGGAGCTTCCTAAACCCCGCTTTTTTCCCTGAACCCCCGGAGTCAGCCCCTTCGTGTCCCAGAGTTCCTGCTCAGGGTATTGTCAGGTCTGGGGATGTCTGGGGTTTTTTGTTGACAGACATCCCAAGCCTGGCCTGATACCCCGAAACCCTGCGCCTCTGAAGCTCCTTAACCCCCGAACCCTTGAACCCAAATCTCCTGCACCACCGTGAAAGATCACGAGGCAGTGTGCTCCCAGGACTTGGCCCCCAGGTAGGATGCTGTTGCTGATGACTTGGTAATTATTGCTCACCCTAAACCCTAAACGCTGCACCCTAAACCCTAAGCCCCGAAGCATTAAACCTGTAAGAACAAAACTGAGCCCCAACCCCTACAGAGCAGACACGCTGTCACAGCCAATATAGCTTAAACCCTAAAACCTAAACCCGAAACCCTAAACCCTACGGTGTTGCGAGGCCTTAGAGCGTTAGGACCTTTGGGTTGCAAAGGTTTAGGGTTTCGGGTTTCATGGTCCCTTAATATTCTCCCCCACCTCCTTGAAAAGGGTTATTGTGTATATTATGGGCCCGGAGGCTGCGCAGGATGTTTAGGGGTATGCAAGGGGTCGCCATTCCCCTAAGAATGTAGAGTCCAGATCCCTGAGCCAGAAAGGATAGAGAGCCTGACAGGTGTTGTCCACCGGCTGGGTCCTCGTCTTCCTCTTCTACATCGCGTTCACGTGCCCTGCCTCCAGATCGTTGGGACCCTAAACCCCAAACCCCAAACCCGAAGCCTAAACCCTAAACCCTAAATCCTAAACCCCAAACCCTAAACCCTGAAACCCTAAGCCTAAATGCCCAAGCGAGCCACTGGAGGTACTTTGCCGTCCTCAACGCAGCTTGGCCGACACAGGGGAAGAGGACTCATTCATTTCCAGCCAAGATCCATCATAATATTAAGCACATGAGGGTACATTTTTGGTTAGAGTTGGCTCCTAGCCGGTGTCCGCCCAACTGGATGTAACGAGAATCGCGGGACGGGGTCCTGAAGCGAGACTGATTCCAGGCCTGCTCAGCTTGTAGGGTTTAGGGTTTAGGGTTTAGGGTTTAGGGTTTAGGGTGCGATTCGGGGAGGCAAAATACAAGCAGGAGATCGTGGACAGAAACGGGACCCGGGCAAGAAAGGCTACAAAATGTGAGATTGAAGCGCTCGACCGAAGAGTGGCAGCGCCAGGGGCGCTCGTCTTAGGTCAGTCGCTGCAGAATACTGTGATGTGGGGGTTTGCGGTAATAAGGGCCTGAACCCTGAGACCGAAAGTTGGTGGGTTTAAGGTTTACAGTAGGGGTTAGGGTTTAGGGGTCAGCTGACAGGAGAGGAGCCTGGGTTGAAAAAGAGGGTTTGAGGGGTGACTCGGTCACGAACGCAAACAGGGTCGCCCTGTTGGGACCCTCTTCGCTCAAAATGGAAACCCTACTAAACCCCTGAACCCTAAACCCAAATCCCCTAAGTCCTGAGCCCAAAAGCAGTGGTCGTGCACATAGCCTCAGGGAGCCCACGTGTCACTCGCCTGGCAAACCCTAAACCCTAAACCCTAAACCCTAAACCCTAAACCCTAAACCCTAAACCCTAAACCCTAAACCCTAAACCCTAAACCCCAAACCGGTAGATGGTGAGGGAGGCAGGGGCCCTCTCTCGGGGCCTCCACAGGGGGTGCAGAAGAAGAAGGAGCTAGAGACAGAGGGCGCCCAGCTTTCAGTCTTATCGCACCCCTGCTGTGTCACTGAGTGCTTGAGGAAGGGTTCTCCCTTCATTATTGTTGTGATTCTTCTTCTTATTGTCATTAGTATGATTATTATGGTTTCTGTTGTTTTGGGGCATTTGCGTTCGACGGCACAGGTCGTCATGACTGACTGGGAGTAGCTGAAGCATGCCTCCCTTCCCCTTTCCCTGGGGTTCGTAGGCCTGCTTCTCCCCCGTCGGTTTTAATGTTGCTTGCACTTCTGCTGACCAAAAGCTATGTGGAGATGGTTGTCTTCGTGAACTGTTGGGGAAAAAAACGCCCAGGTCGTCACGGGTGTTTTCTGCCAGCACCTGGGCACCTTATGATGATCTGTTGTGTTCATTCTTGGACCTTTGAGGGCCGAGGGCTTGAACCCTAAAATCATACCAGGGTTTAGGTTAGGGCTTGGGGCGTAGGGTTTAGGGTTTGGGGTCACAAGGGTTCATGGTTTAGGGCTTCGGGCCTTGGAGCGTTCCAGGCGATGTCGGTTGGCTGGTCTCCTCCGCCCGCCCTGGAGTCTTCCCCACAACGCCCAGGAGTGCAATCGACAGCGCCCAGAACGATCAGACCCTGGTTCTTCAGTCAATACAGGCGGCCGAAAACCTTAAACCCTAAACCCTAAACCCTAAACCCTAAACCCTAAACCCTAAACCCTAAACCCTAAACCCAAGTGCCACATGCCTCTCGGGGGCAAGCGAAGCCTCAGCAATTGCATTTTGCCACGCCTGCCTTGGTTCAGGGGTTGAGGGTACGTACTGTACGTTTGTAGTACATGCACACACACATATATGTGTATATATTTTAACGTATACATACGTATATATGTATAGATGTATATATGTATTTTGCTACTAGTTCACATGTCATATTTACTTGGCATGTTGTGTGTATATAGATATAGTTATGTATACATATGCGAGTGTATGCGTTGATTTTTATGTACTCTTGTACATGTCTGTGTGGAGGACCAGGTTAATAACATGAAATGTAAGATCAGAGTTTAGATGAATATGACTATATGTATGAATATTTATATCGTTGAGTACTATTCACATTTGCCCAGATATCTTGGCCGCCCACAGGCTGAGAAGCAGGCGAACATCGAGAAAATCACCAACTTGCCATTCAGCTCGAAGTGTTGAGTCTAGGCGCTTTAGGGCACTCCTGTATGCTATCTGTGAGGCTTTCGTCACTTAGAGTTCTTGCGCGGCTGGGCGGGCGCCAAAAACCTCCTGAGTAATAGCTAGGCAGGTGGTAAAGCCAAA